TTCTCTTTTAAGCTGCCTGAACTGATGATGAACCAGCCTGGGATGGTTGCAGAACAATGCTGCTTCTGTGAAGTTTTAGAATTTTAGAATTAATTTAGGAAACTAGCCAGCTTGAGGTAGTGAGAGTGGTATATAGAGATGATTCAGCTTGGTGAAGAATCAAAGATGAATATATGGCATTGTTGGTATCCCACAGCTCACGTCCATCAAGTGTATTGGTAGGTTTTCCCACACCCACAAGCAATTCTGGGACACCAGCAGAATATCTGTGTAGTTGGTGGTGTCCTGGAGCCCAATTCCAGTGGGTATGTGTGTAGAGAGGCCTTCCCATACCAGCAAGCAATTCTCAGAAACCAACAAGATGTTCAAGAATTCAACTCAAATGTGACACCATCTAGCTAGAGAGCTCGCACCTGATTGGTCCATTACAAACGGCAGTTACTGAGCTCTGAGGAGCAACTGCCACACTGACTTGTGGTGGAGCGGCAGGATGAAAGGACACCGCTGCTCCTGCCGACTCCCACTGCTGAGGCGGCTGGGTTCCAGTAACAATACAGGTACCTGAGTTTCTGACAAACCAGCTACACGTAAGAGATTCCCATGGTGACCATCTCAGACTTCAGGTGCCCATTGTAAACCCAGATTGTTATTTGTGCTTCTGACCAACTGGCTATAAATCAGGTTCCCAGGACACCCTTCTCAGTTTTGATTAATTTGCTTAGAACAACTCATAGAACTCAAACCATTTACTCACTAGATGGCTGATTGATTGCTGATTGAATGGCGAGATGGAAGAGATGTACAGAGCAAGGTATGGGGAAAAGGTGTGGAGAGTCCATGTCCTCTCCAGGCATGAAATTCTCCTCCGTATCTTCACATATTCACCAATCTGGACACTTTGGAGTCCCCATCTCTTGTTTTTTTTTTTGTTTGTTTGTTTGTTTGTTTTTTCTTTCTGGAGACTCCATAGGTATAATTGATATACATAGGTAAAATTGATTAAATCATTAGCTGTTGGCAACTGAACTTAATCTCCATCCTTCTCTCCTCTTGGGAGGTTGAGGATGGTGGAACTGGAGGTTTCAATCCTTTAATCGTAACACTGGTTCCCTTGGCAACTACCCCATCCTTAGGTGCTTCCCCAGAAGTGACCTCGGTCACATGACAAGAGAAACTTTTCATACTCTGAACGCTTAGGAAATTCCAGGGGTTGTGGGAACAGAGCCAAGAGTTGTGGATGAAGACCAAATATAACAACTATAAATCACAATATCACAACATACAATTCATTTTTTACTTATATGAATGGGTCACTTTAAACATAATGTATGATATTAAACATATTGGTGTTTTTTTTTTTTAAGTTACATCATGGTAGGAGTGCATTTCCAAAATCTTTCTAAGAAAAACTTGTTTTCAGTATAATTTTATTAAGATAGGTATTAGTGTGATCCAAGAAATTAGAAACAAACTTTTCCCTAGGGGATAAAGATAATTATCAGCTGGTAATAGCAGTGCCTGTTTGGGTCACATGACTGTCTTTGTAGTCACCCTGTATGTGTGGTAAGCTTGCCAATAAGAGCCAGGGTTACAGGTGAGGGGCTTGGAGATTCCAAGTTTAATTGTTTATATAAATGTAAAGGCAGGAAGGGCACGGAGCAGGTTTTCTATGATTCCAGCAGACGGTTTAAAGGAGGAGTCCTAGAGCCCTCGGTGGCTTTTCAGGCTTTTATTGGGATTTACCAGGTACACGGCAGGCAGGTGTGCTGGGGAGCTGCCAGCTTCCCAGCCCCCAGCAAGTCTTCGCTCTTTCTGGGCTCTCCAGCATTCTTTCTGCTTCTCTCGTGGTTCTGCTCTCTGCTCTTCCATTTGTTCTCTGCTCTCCTGCTTCTCCGGTGTCTCCGTGACGCTGTCCTTATAAGCCCAGTCTCTCAGCCCAGGTGATTCCCGTCTACAATATGCCCACACCCTACTCCAGGTGTCCGCCATCAGGCATGCATTCGGGACCACAGGATTCCGTCATCTATCCTAATGGCGGGAGGGCAGAAAAGCCTGATACTTTTTACCTTACCTTACGATAAATAAATTTTTATATAACATATGTGACATTATAATTTATATTATATATGGACTGTAAAAAGATCCAAATAATTTGAGCTTGAGATTTGATACCATCTGTACTCACTAATATCTGCAGAAATAATTAAATTTTTTTCCTCCTATTCTAAATCTCAGTAGTTAAAGCTTTGAGTGTACTTCGTTAAAGAAGGCTAAGCCAAAGAGATACACCATAGCTATTTTGGAGAATTCTGGGCCTTGTGCAAGTCAGAACTTACTCATTTGGAAGCTGTTGAGGAACGCTCCAATTGGGAAGGAGTGAAGACTGTGGTCCTAAGGAAATTTCAGAGCCTGGATACCCCTGAGGCTGCATGGTGGAATAGAAAGCTGGAGCTCTGAGGCTTGCGTTTACAGTGTTGACTGCCCATTGTTAGCTAATGAAGTCCAGCAGAGCTCTTCACCCCTCCACACTTCTGTCTCATCATCTATAACCTGAGGGAAATAATGAAACTAATTCACAGTGTTGTTCAGAGCAACACAATGATGCTTGTGGAACATCATCCTTCAAGTATTGTGGAAAGTATTTGTCATGGCTATTAACAATGTGAGATGTATGGTCCCTGAGGTAGAAGCTTTTACTTAAAATGTTTCTTTCGAATGTTATGATTTAATAAGAGACATTGTTGTCTTTCCCAAGTAAGCTCATGCTCTTAAAACTATGTCTCACTACCTAGAGGGGATTCCTTTCAGCAGAAAGATGTTGGTGAACCAGATCCTAGGCTGGTGGAGCCTTGGGCCCAGAGATGTTTTAAACTGGTCTGCCAGCAGTAACCAAATCCTTTGCACTGATAGTCAAGGTTTCAAAATGTATGGTGGATGTCATCTACTACTATCTTGGACATGAGTGTAAATGGCAGCCATCTCATTCCATACCTATGCTTTCAGTGGTGTTTCCAGATATCAAAGCTCACCTGAGTGTTTTATATGTCTTTAGTGAATCATTGATGCCAGCAGATCTCCCTTTGTTTTCATTTTTTCTCCAGTCACCTCACCTTTCCTTTTCCAGGCTCTAGAAACTAGAGCACTGAAATTCAGGGAGGAGCTTCTCAGTTTAAGAGAAACTTGCCCCAATGATCGGCATTGCCTTATATCATTCAACCGCGGTGTTTTCGCCCACCCTGTGGCACTGACTGCAGGTCCTTGTGGAGAGGGGGAGGGGGACATTCTTCACAAGGTCATCATTATGCCAAATGTTTGGAGAAGAAAGGGTCTCAGATCCAACTAGACCCTTAGATGAAAAACACCGTCTGTTCTTTAATTCCCTTTGTGCCACTCATTCATTTCAGCTCTGTTGAAATGAAGCCTCATTTCCCAATTATCATGGGATGGACTATACTTTTACAAATGATTTTATCTGGTGAACTCATCCGTTTGTCTCCAACCCATTATTTTGCATGCTTATTTAACCTCTGGAGGTAGAGCAATGAAGACTACATGTCCACACACATTTTCACTCACTGTCTCCCTTATTCAGTGTCAGATTTTCCTCTGTAGAATAGTAGAGAGTTTTTGGACTCTGCAGTCTGTTCTATGTTGCTTCAAAACCAAAACAACTAAATGTATCCAAGTTAAAGAAAACCTGTATTCAAATCATGTAATGATATAAATTTAGAAAAATACCTTCTGAAATAACATGAAATGATTTACTGATGAAAATAGAAAGCACTCTGTGCTCTCAAATAAGTCTTTTTTTGTACATTTAAAACTTTTGAATGGGTATTATGTTCACATAGGTTTAAAGATAATGTGCAGTGAAATGTCTTGCTCTTGGTACCATCCTCCATCTTCCCAGATCCCACCACTCCACTGCCCTAGTATTAGTTAATGTTTTTGTAGCTTTCTGGAGTTTGCTAGTGTGTAAGTGCATACAAATTGTATGTTTTTTCTTTGTTAACTTAAGGTAGCATATACATGTGTCTTGCCCTTTGTTGCTGCTGTTAAACAGTATATCTGGGTTACACAGAGAGCTTCACTCCCTGTGCACCTACAGACTCCGCCTTTGTGCGGCTATGCTGTCATTTATAAGCCAGCCCCACAGTAATGGACATTTGGTTGTTTTTCATTTGGGGGGTATCAAAAGCATTGCTTAGTAAATAACCTTGGACCTGTGTCATATACATATGTGTTTAATTTCCAGGTGTGGTGGTACTTTTTGAGGTTACGTATATTTTCAATTTTAAAAGTTATTGCAAAATTCTCCTTCATCACGGTTGTACCTAGTTAATCTCTCACCAACATTTTATGAAAACGCCTTTCCCATAGCAGTCATGCCTGCAGTACTATCAAATGTTTGGAATTTTGCCAATCCAATAAATAAAAAATATATATCTTAATGTGACTTTAATTTGCATTTCTCTTATTTGATTGAAGTTGAATATTCATATATTTAAGAGCCATTTGCACTACCATTTATGAGAATTGTCTGCTTGTATCTTTAGACCATTTTTCTGATGGGTTGTGTTTATATGTCCATTTTTAGGAAGCACTAGGCCTTGATTTATGATATGAATTGCAGATATCTTTCTCAGTTTTGCATTAGTTTTTTTGACTTTATGATTTTTTTTCTTTTTTTTCCCCTATAGAAATTACTGATTTTTATTAGTTGAACTTATTAGTCTTTTATGTTGTGGTTTCTAGATTTTGAAATATCATTAGAACCTCCTTTATTCTAATGTCTTATCTCGTATTTTCTATGTTTCCTCCTCATACTTTATTAGCTTCATTTTGTACATTTATATCTTGGGTCCATTTGGGGATTTATCCTGTGTGTCTTATGAAATAAGAATCAACTTAATTTTGTTATTTCTTTAAGCTGCATACCCTGTTATCCCCAGGCCAGTTAATGAATGGTCTTAATCTTTCTTCTTAAATTGTTTTTTAAGATCCAAAAAGTTGGCAGCTCTTGCTGAAGCCTTAAAGAAAGTATCTCTGACAAAGGCCCAGCTGGGATTAGAACTAGAAGAACTGGAAGCAGCAGCACTTCTTGTCCAGCAGGAAGAAACTGCATTAAAAGCAACCCATTCTGTTCCCAGGCAGCCAACATCTACCTCCAGTTCTGAGGCAAGTGATTCTGAAGAAACAGACAGCACTGAATCATCTGAGGCCCAAGTTTCAGATTCAGAACAAGAGGAGCTCGAAAATACTGAATCTAAGACAGTAAATTCCTTTCCAGGTCCGTTTGTTGAGGAAAACAGTGTCCTACTTATTGATGCTGGTGGGGGAGGCAGAAACCCAGCCCTCCTGAGGTCTGATGTCACTCAGGGAAAGCCAGGCACGCCTTCTTCGGCTCTTCCCAGGGCTAAGCCTCTGATAGAGGAGCTTGGAGAACAACTGCAAACTAACGTTCGGATTTCCGACACTGCGCCTGGAAACTGCAGCAGTGTCCAGGACAAAAACGACAGGCAGACACCAAGCGATTGCTAGCGATTTTACTCATTGTTGAGAATTATGTGAGGTTTGGTTTTTATTGACTGAATTAGAATTCATTTTCACATTATATTTTTCGTTATAAGGGTATTCAATATTGCTTTTCAATGAACTAATGTTTATACCTGTTGAGTTCCTTGTTGCAGTTTTAAAAATAAACTGTAACGTTTTTACTGAAGTGTAATAAATATTTGATGATGAAGATAACAGTTCTGCCCAAATCTATAGACTATTGTGCCCATTGATATAGTTTATAGTTTTACTGAGGTATACCTAACATATAAATACATGTATTTAAAGTGTACAATATGGTAAGTGTTGACAAACCTGTATGTATATATACCAAAGGAAGCCATCACTTAACAATTAACATGCTATACTTAACTATCATGTCCAGTGTCCTCATGCCCCTTTGTAACCCTCCACTTTACCCTACCTCCCCGGCAAGCATCTGTCTGCCTTCCATTACTATACATTGGTTTGCATTTCCTAATTTAGTGTAAATTGGATAATGTAAGATGTACTCTTTTTTTTAATCTAATTTCAGGCTTATTTCACTCAGTGTAACTATTTTGAGATTCATCAGTGTGATAACATGGATCTGTTTTTTCTCTCCATTGCTGAGTAGTGTTTCATTGAATAGATTTATCCATTCACTTATGGATGGACATTTGGGTTGTAACCAGGTTTTCTGACTGTTGGAAATAAACATTGTGTGCAAATCTTTGTGTGGACGAATGCTTTTATTTCTCTTAGGTAAATACATCAGAGAGGAATGACTAAGTCTTACAGTAGGTCAATGTTTAACAGTTTAAGAAACTGCTTAACTAGTTTCCAAAGTGAATGTATCATTTTACATTCCTATAGTCAAGTATGAGAGTTCCAGTACTTTATACTCTTGCCATCACTTGATATGGACAGTTTTTAAAAATTTGTTACCACTTATGTGCTAGTATCTCATTGTCATTTTAATTTGCATTTTAAAGACTTACTTTTTTTTTTTAAGTTTTTTTTTTTTAAAGATTTATTTATTCGTGCATACAAGAACCGGGGTACAGGCCAAATGTGGGGGAGGGTGAGAGGATTCACCAGAGAGAGAGTGGGGAACAGAACAGGCAGACTGACTGAAATACACTGCTGAGGGGAGCAGTGGGCGAGACAGGAGAGGTCTGCCGCCCCATGTGGGACCCTCGCCGGCTGGCCGGGATCAAAACTGCACTGCAGAGGTTGCGGACAGCTTCACAGCGCTGCGCTCAACTGCCTGCGCCACCGGGGGAGGCTCAAAGATTTACTTTATTGAGCATCTTTTCATGCGCTTGTTACCACATCTCTTTGGTCAAATGTCTGTTCAAATTTCTTGCCAATTTTTTTTTAAAGCTGTGTTGTTGCCTTTTATTTTTTTTTTTTGTAGCTGGGTGGTTTTTTTATTATTTTGTTTTGAGAATTCTTTGTAGATTCTGGATACAAGTCCTCACTATGAGTCATCTTTTTATACCTTGTAATCTTTGTTTGAATGTGAAGCACTGAAAATTTTACCTTGTTGAGTGCTGGTTATGATATGTATTCTTATAAATATCTTGAGCTTTGCTTTGGGGTGTACTTGGAATAGTTTGATCCTAATGGGTCTTGTTTTTGTAATTTGTTAGCAGGACTGGGACAGTGCTCATTCTAGGATAAACTATTTCCCAATACTAAAGAAAGATTTTGCTGAACACTGCGAATCAGGAGTTTTCAGTCTGCTGTTGGAAATGGGCACCTGTGGGTGCCGTATGCTATTCCCTCAGTCCTTTCAGATGGCTTCTTCCTGGTCTCACTTACCTGCTCTCATCAGTAAGTACTCTTCTGCATATGAGAAGGCAGCCTTCTCTAGATAACTGGGGTTCTCTGCAGCTCCCTTCTCTTGGTACTATGTCTGCAAACTCTAGTTGCCTTATCTCCCTAAACCTGGGCTCTGTCTCCTGAGCTCCAGAGTCTGGATTCTGACAAGGTTGTCCCTCTCTACACAGCCCGGACAGTCTTTTAAGGTAGTTGTGAGACAAACACATGACCTGCCTTGTTTTCCATCCCTCAGCATCGCTCTCTCATTGCCTGATAGCCAGTGTCTTGGAAATCATTGTTTCATGTGTTATTTCTGTTTTTCTTTTTTGATTATGACAGAGTAAATCCGGTCCCTATTATTCTATCTTAAATTAGAAGCATAAGTCTCCACTAATATTTTAAATGTGTGTTTTCCCACTTGAGTGTAAGTTCCCAGGGAGCTGGATCTGTGAATCATCAGAGCCCATATTCTCAGTGCACCTTATGTATTTGTTGAATGAATGAACAAATGAAATAAGCCAATTTCTTTTGGGAGGAAATGAAATCTGATATGTATGAATCTCAGCAGCATTTTTTTTTTTTTTTTAATTTCCAGAAAGGGTTTGATCCCTTTTACTCTGGGCTTACATAAGTTGGGAGTATTTATATTTCCAATGTAGATTCCAGGTTGTACTAACAGGATAGTTGGGGTGGCTGTGCCATTTGCCACACATGTTAGTTCCTGAATACTCTTACCAGCTTTGTCAAAGATTTTCAAGCCTTTTCTCAGGCTCGCTGGAGAGCTTTCCAAATCCCTATAACCACTGAAGATATATTTTCTCCTCAGTAGTACATTACCTGCAGCCAGTTTGAAATGTATTCTCTGTAACTCTCGCCTTTACTTTTACTAATGTTAAGTTGTCTAAAAGTTTAAAGTTGTGGAAATTCTTCCTTGCGCCAACTTCTATCCTTCCTTAAGAATCTTGACAGGATCTACTTCTGTGAGACTTGGGCAGAAAAACCTGTTACTCTCTTCCTCAAAGAATGAGCAAACATGATCCCTCCCGGATATCCTCAAAGCAAAGGCACTCATTCAACAGTTCTCATACGACTTAAAGACAAGGGGAGTAAGCACCTGAAGTTTAAACTCTATATCTGCAGTGTTTCTTTTACCCTTTGTTCGCAGGGGATTAAAGCTTTCTTATATCATATTACCCTGGCTTTATTTAAGATAGGTTAAGAACACTACCATCTCTGTAATCCAGGACATATTCAAAGGTGCCGCCTTTATTTTTTTTATACTGGACAAGCTGCCAGACATCTCCAGGGATCTTCTATAACCATACGAGTTTCCTGAGAATTCTGGATGATGGGGAAGAAAGACAAGTTGGGAAAACCTAGTGGGAGGAACCACAGCTTGGACTTGATAAGAGGAAGAATAGAGTTGCAGTCACAGTTCAGGTGTGACTGGCACATAAGGGGGATCACACCAAACTCCAGCCATTCCCCTTTATCTTGAATACAGGAATAGAACAACTTTTCTTTCATATCTCACAGGATGACAAGACTATATGTCTCAAAATATTTTTTATAAACTGGAAAGTAGTAAGTCACCATAACAGTTTATTATTATTATCTGCTTCCCAGAGCTGAACAGGGTCTATTCAGCTACCTGACAACAGGTCGCTGGGGGAACTGGCACTGTGAAAATGAATCAGCCCTGTTAATCGCTTCAGAGGCATGCAAGTGGTAAAAGTCTACACAGTTCAGCAGATTAGATAGAAATATTAATTATATCAATGAATCACAGCACTGCCTCATCTTCTGGGTTTGCATTAGCACTGACCTATTTTTCTCTGTTCTGTCTCTCCCATTATCCTTGAAGAATAATGCAGGGGGCCTTGCTGTAGGCATGATGGGTTTTCGGTGCCAGTAACTATGCCAATATCATCTTTCACTGGCATGGGATTAATTTACAAATGAGATAGGGCTGCTCCCTACCACATTCTAAATTGGTCGAACAGCTGGGAGGCGGTTATCACACCTGCTAGTGAAAAATTCACTTTGGTCATATGGATCAAATTCTGGTACCAAGAGTTGAGGGAAGAACACCAGGAGTCAAGTTCCTGCATATCTATTTTGTTATAAAGAGATTTTTATTTATGTTACATCTTCTAACTAGTGATTGACCCATGTAGTCAAAGGTGAAAAAACACACTTCTAAAAGAAATAGAGATGAGTTAAAGACATAGGAATGAAAGTGCTATTAAAAAATATACCAGATCTTCACAATGTTTCACGAAATCTTTAAAGATGTAGAAATTCGCTTCATAAAGTGATCTGTCATTGTAGTTCAGGTAGATTGAAGTAAAGCGTCATTAACACAAATATCTGACTGGCTAGGCATCTCCACTACAGCAGATCAAAGATTGCAAATATTTCCTTCACTTCATCCATCTAAATCCCCAATGAAATTTTTGTTTGGGATCTGGTCTGTAGGGTAAAGAAAATATCAGGCTTTTCTGCCCTTCCGCCATCAGGATAGATGATGGATCCTTGTCCTGAATGCATGCCTGATGGCGGGCACCTGGAGCAGGGTGTGGGCATAGGTAGATGGGATTCACCTGGGCTGAGACTGTGCTTTTAAGGACGGCGTCACGGGGACCCCAGCAGCAGCAGCAGTAGAAGCCGAAGCAGAAGCTGAAAGAGAAGCCGAGAAGCAGCAGAACGAACGCTAGAGAGCCCAGATAGAGTGAAGACAGCCCCCCAGCCAGGACCCCTGCCTGCCATATGCCTGGTGAACCCCAATAAAAAACCTGCAAAACTACTGAGGACTCTGACTCCTCCTTTACCCGGTCTGCATGGGATCAGAAGACCTGCACTGTGTCCTCTCTTGCCTTTACATGGTCCCTTCCCCGCTTTTTTTTTTTTTTTGGCATGTGTTATATATAGTTTCAATCCATACCAAATAAAAGAAGCATTGATTAGACTTGATTTAAGGCAGCAAATGATAAATGCAGCTGGAAATTGATTCATGCCCCTCGAGTGACTGGGGCACAGCCATCCACAGTTGACACAACTCAAAGCTGGAGAAAACAAACACAGAAACACATGTCAAACAGATAAATGACTTTGCTGTTTTGAGCTCTCTATGGAGGGCATTTGTTTCCTAGATAAGGAAGACTGCTCTCAAAAGTCATGAAAAGATAAGCTCGGGGAAAGGATGAATGTGGAATTGAGATACTTGAGCACTTGAAGAAAACAAACGGAAAAGGTTTACCTCCTGGAGGAGCTGCACAACTAGGATCTGCTCTCCTCCATCTCAGACATGCTGGAAACCTCGACCTAGTTGAGATGGCGTGCTAAGGACTCGGTTCTTGGTATTTTAAGTGGTCACTGTGAAATGCTCTTGGCATTTGAGCTATTTTCAGGGAGACATTCCCCAAATGCTCAGCTCAAGTGAGCATTCAGGGGAAGCAGCAGCTGAGAGCCCCACTTACAATCATCTGGCCCGAAGTGTGGATGGTTCCTGCAGTTCGACCATTAGCCCAGAAATCCTCTGGAAAAATCAGACCTATCTAGGACCTAATCCACAGTCTGTAGTGAAATTTTAACTGTTTTCTTTTCCTGAACATGCCAGGTGTTTTCCTACCTTACAAGTTTGCTAGCGCACAGCTCTCTTTTCTCTGTAGTTTGCTTAGGTACACACATCATGTTCTCTAAGTCCCATTCAAATGCCACCTCCTCCAGAAGGTACCTTGCATTCTTTCAGGCTAGAAATAGTTTCTGTCCATGGATCTCTCACCGAATCCAGGAAGGTCCTGCTGGAAGAGACTTGAATCCACAAGCTGAAGGGATCAGTGCTGGGAAGAGATTCCTAGCAGGCTATTCCTTAGAGTGTGGGTTCTAGGATTCTGT